ACACATGTGCCGTCTCCTCTCCGCTATCATACAACAAAATTAGCACTCTGAAGAGGATATGAGCCAGATTGTGTCCCAGAATTACCCCAGTTTGCACTCGTGTGTCATTCCCATGGAATTTTAAACACACTGGCTAAGACCTGCCCAATTAAATATACAGGCACAGAGCAATATACGTGCACATACTTATACCATTGCACACAGAAATACCCACATGCGGCACTACTTAGCGGTCCTAATAATGAGATGCACTGAAAACTGCGCTACAGGTTTGTGGCATCTACTGTTCCCATGAGTCTGAGCTTGCTTACTGTATTCATTTACGTTCCTCTGAAACTGTGAATGCTCTGCACCCGCACATGTCTACCCTGCTATTACCCACATGGAAATAGGTTCAATCCTTGCATTAATATTTCCAATGTACCCCCAGGTAAAGTGGCTTAAAACACAAAGATGGCAATTAATCCTGATATTCCAGACATAATAAACGTCCTCCCTTACTCTTAAAACCTTATCTTGTCTGGGAGGAGGAGATAATAATGTTGTTATACACTGTTCACCTTTTTTTAAATTGCTATATGTTACTCATTTTTGCGCTGTATTTTAAGGCATACATTATAATTGTTTTTTCATTTCATTCAACGTGGATAAAACTGATCAATTGAGAGTGGAAAAAAAAAAAAAACATCCCCTTATTTGGTATATGTATATGGCTCAAATTATTAGACAGTGAGAAAAAAAAACATGGAAGATGAATATGAGATTTAAGCCATTCAAACCCTAGGTGTGGAACTACTTTGGATGTCACAATTTAGAAAAAATGATGTGAATCGTGATAAGACCACAATTGTTCAAATGATGGCAGTAAAACAACCAACACGCAGGTGCGGAGGTCCAGCTCAACACCACCCAGAACTAAACACTGTAGAAACAGAAGGGAGGGAACCTGTTGATTTGCCTGTTCATAAAAACTCCAGACGCAACCCGGTAAGTTCTGTCGTGATACCACTTTCATCCAAAATTAAAAAAGCAACCAGTAAACAGTCCTATCAAACCAGAACATTACAGAATTGTAGTACTCAAGCAATCACAATAGCTGTTAGCATGTTAGCATTAGTAGAGAAGGACTGATATTACAAAATAAACAAACGACTATATGTAATTTCTGTGTTGTTCACTTCATATTGATCAGACTGTAATTACTGAGCAGCTGAGTGGGGAAAATGTTCAAGTCAGATTCATAAAGTTTTGTAGTTCTCTTAGCAGAAAGAACTACAGGGATGTCAGCTAAGTGTTGGCAAAATGGAGGAAACCATTTTGGAATAAAATATTAAGCTGGAATAAGAAGGTTGCCCCATCCTACCCATTTTCAATGATATTGCATGAATGCGTTAATAGGCCAAAGTTTCAAACTGAACCTGTGTTGAGTTGCTCATCATATACAGTCTACTATAATATCGTTGTGAACTAACTTTTACTACGGTTACATTTCAAAACCCCACCAAAGATCTTGGTGCGCTCTCACTGAAAAGAGAAAAGTTATATTAAACGGACAGCATGGTATATACAAACAATATTCAGCTTTGTAAAGCTTAGCTTATTTTCCCACAAACTAGTGAAAGACTACTAAAGACTGACACATACACAGCACCAGGAACTCAGAACATAAAGGATTTAACATAATAGAGGCCTGAACGTGTAGTCAAAGAACCGTAGATGATGAAGATTTGACACCGCTGATGCTGATGGATGCTCATCACTGCCTCATAAAATAAGTAAACTGACTTACTTCATTTTACGGAAAACTAACAAACAAAAGAATATTAGAAACGTCATCCTCCTCCTGTTGGAGAGCCACATGGACAAAAACTAAACAAAGACAAATATCAAATAAAGAAAAGGGGGGAAAAAAGGTGTAGTGGCCAAAATCTCAACTTTAAACAGCCTGATGATTGCGGTAGACAGATAAGGATTACTCCTGAGTGCCATCACTGTCCAGTGCTTGTCTCTAGTTTAGTGGCCTGTGTGAACCATATTTCAAAAACGTGCCTTGCTCTCTAAACCTCTGCTGGTTAGCATCGTGTCGGGGCACTACATTCAACTAGGCTAACTAGTCACAACAGTCAATATGTGAGCAGGACAGGACCTCAGCCTGGCTGGCAGCATTTAGCATGGGTAGTTAAGTTGACTGCTGGTTATCGCAGCCCCCAGGTTCAACCTGAGAGCAGCTCTGTCTGAGAGGACCCCTCCATTCATGGCAGGAGGAGCGGGCCCTCTGTGCAATAACTGTCAATCACAGCAGAGAAACATGAAAGCAGAATTATAGGTACATTCTGACCCAGCCAGAAAACATCCCAGAGGATCCCGCATGGGCAACAATCCCACCACGCATCCACAAATGTGAGACTGAGACCTCCCACACTAAAAAAAGATATGAAATGCAGCTATTAGAAAAACACATTCATATTTATAGCTGTGACTGTTTGGAAAGGCGCACTAAGCTATAAAAGAGTTACTACTCGAAGCTTGGAGTCCTAAACAAATTGTTTTAAAATGACCAGCCCTTAATTTCCTTTATTATAATACTGTATCTTTATCACACGCAGGTTTTCTAAGTGATGGCTGCTCTAAGTTGGCCATTGTAGAATTTCATCAAACGTATGAATTAGGAGAACAACTGCTGCACTTATTCCTGTAGCTGCTGAAAATGCTGTGTGGCATGAATAATTATGAATTGAGTAATAGGTACTTGTGTCATTTAAAGCATTTAACACTAGTTTTGGTTTAAAATAGCTGGTGTAAGTACTACTAAGACATCAACACTGTATTTATTGAACACTGATTTGTTTGCATTATATTAAAACCACTCTAATATAATATTGTATATCCATTATCAATCCCTACGTATGCTTTCTAAATTATAATAAAATGTTTAATGCATCGTCTCCCATTTGACCTTGATTACTTCTGCTTTGTTGTTTGGCCTTACACAACTGCTATACAGCTGTTATTTTTAGGGATTGGTCCCAATACGCAATCAATTTATTAAACGTCGCTATAGGTGCAGATTCAGTGTTATATATCAGATTACTACTTACTTTGACTGATAGGAAGACATGACACCATATTAATACTTGCAGCAATCTGTAAATCAATAGATACAAAAGTGTTTTTTTAAACCCATGTCTGCCATCAACTTCAGAGCTCATATTATGTCCTAAAATGTAACTTCAAACTGAAGCATGAGAAATGTCTTCTGTCGAGCCAGTTTCCTAAAACTGGGAAACAAATGCACATTTTGCAAAAGGAGGGAGAAAATACCCTCAAATACCATTTGTGAATTCTCTTTTTGTGTATTATACTAACATATTTTCATGTTCTGTGAATGTCAAAGTAAACATAATTGTTGTAATTGTACATCACTCACTCTAAACCTCCAAACGAGTTGAATGGAAACTTGCAGACCTATGGTTAAAAACCAAATAGTACCTTTCCTGCTCCCTGGGGGATACATAATGACTGTACTATGGAGTCCTTACTATTGCAGGAGTCAGTCATTCAGCAGATAAACTAAATTCCTAATTAACTGTGAATAGACACCTTAGTCAGAACATCGGGTAAATGGGAAACCGATGCTTTTTTTTTGCTAAATGTCAATACTCTTTAGTTTATGAGCAAAAACACTGGTCAGAATGAGGCAACAGAGTGAAAGTAAACATTTTAAGCAATAGAAAAAAAACAGACACACTCGGGTCTAACCTACTGTATCAGTGGGGAGGGGGGCCCACTGCCACCCACTACACAGACGATGAGACAAACCACCCCTCCGACACGTCCTTCCATGTCTCTCACACACACACACAAGGCTTGCGAGTTTTAATTAGAAAACCCATGAAGCAAACAAATGCACGGAAACATGAGGCCAATACACAGAAGAGAAAATAAATCCTTTGCCACTTTACATCAATATCCATTTCCCTGCGTCCTTCACCTCACTGTGGTTTTTGGTTAACACGCTTCAGATTAGATAGCAGATAAATAAACAGTGTGGACAGCGTTCTCAGGAAGAGCGCCCTGACCGTGCTGTGTCCTCGGCATGTGCAGATCAGAGAGTACGACCAAACATCGCACAGATAGTCCGAAGCAGAGCAACTCGGAGGTCCTTTTGGTTTTTTTTTGTGCTCGAGCTGCTTCCCTCGGCATCAAGAGCGGCTGCACAGGGGGAACCGCTCTACAATTCAAGGCCTCTCTCATCAGAATGCAGCTATCAATGTGGGCACCTCCATAGATAAATGTCAAAGTGACAGTGACCGATGTTAGGAAGAGCCTGCGCCCGGCTTGTTTCTGTTGCATCAGAGCCACGTTACGCTATCAAGTTGTGGCACCAAGTTAGTCGTTGAGTGAAAGAAAGAAAGCGTTCGCTGCCAGGGCTTGATATGTAACTGAAGTTGGTCTTGGACTTAAAAACAGTTCAAAATATATGAAATGCTAGTGAGGAAAACAGGCATCTTTCATCCTTTCAGTCCTAACGTATGGTGAAAACAACTAATTTACTGCTACACTATATGTAAAATCACTACTCCCTATTAAAAAGAAACTGACACATTGCATTGTGGGATTGTGAGGAGAACGTATCGCGCATGCCGTGGACACTGCTTTTTTGATACATAGTGGGATTTTTTTTTGTAAGGGCACTACAAAGAGCACTAATGCATTCACTGTATTCGGCAAAAATCTAATAAAATGGCCAACAGTAAACGTGGAGCAATATGTAGTGAACAGGAAGTGATTTTGGACACAGCTCATATATTCCTGCCATGTCTTCTTAGCATTTCTAGTTCTGCTCATAGAAAGCAGTTAGGATGAGAGGACTGTCACTGATGTGTGTTATTGAGAGGAGCCAAGATGTGTACGCATAAAAGAAACCGTGACTAAATGTGACACACACAAAAAATAAATTAAAAAAAGAGAGAGAAAGAAACAGAGTGGAGCTGGGTTACCTCAGAAGCCCCCCTGCCCTTTCAGCAGGGCCTCATATGGAGAACCAGGTCTCAGGTCCCCTGGGCACTGATGTCTGCTCTCCACTCGACTCCTCCCAGTCAGCCACGGAGGCTGTGCAGGAACCTGGGCCACTCACGACACCCTACAGCCACAAGTCATTCACACCTGGAACAGAGGGAGAAGAACTTTGCTCATCGGGTGAAACACAAACAAGCAAATGGCAAGGAAAAGCACTCAGTCGCTCGTGTTGACAAGACCGGCGTGTAGCAAACACATAACCAGCGCAAAGCTTAGGTCATTAGGGGCTACAAGAGCAGTGTACACTCGCCTTTTTAACCCAGACACTCATTTATATTTCAGTTATCGACCAGTGTACACATAAGGGACTACAAGACAGCATATGATACTCTATCAAGAGAATCCTTGCTTCTTTGCATCCAAGAGGACTTGACAAATGTCAACTGTGGGGAGCGGGGAAAAAAAGTGACTTTCCGCCTCACCTCAACAACGCAGAAGAAAAAAGAAGTATAAAAAAAAAAAGGGATAAATATTAAAACCCCCCTCAAGACTATGCAACAGATGCACGTTCATGGCAGTCAGCAGTGTTGCCTAGCAATTGAAGAGACCAGAGTCCTGTAAAAGGAAGGTCTGCAGTTCAATTTCAGCGACTGGCAGGTACGCTTCAAAACGGTCCTTGAACGAGACACTGAGCCCCTACCTGCCAACTCAGACGTCGCTCAGGATAACAGCATCAGTTTAAGGGCTAGAAGGCAAACTGCAACAAAAGCACAAAAGCCGCTGAGATTGCCCTCTTTGTAATTATGTGGGGGAGAAAACAGCAGTAGCATTAAGGCTAAAATGATGCTGGATACAAACATATTGAAATATCTCATGTGAGCCCTTGTGCAAAAAAATTTTTCAAATAAACTCGTGAAAATGTAACAAGTTAAGACTTCATTCACAGAGGAGTAGGTTCACAGAATTCCCCCAGGTATCAGATGTCTTTTTCTTTTTTTTGTACTAAACATTTTCACACAACAACAGGACCTGTGGATTATTTTCACTCACAAGTTTTAAAAAAGCCTGGTTGAAAAGAAAACTAAAAAAAAAAAAAAAAAGGACTGAAACACATTCTTTGCTATGTTTAGCTCTCTTGGTCTTGGCCAAGGTAACACAGCACAATGCCACACAAGTTACTCACAAACGGGCCTACTCGAGGAAGTCGTCCTGAAATACACACAGACATCTACAAACCTAAAACTCTGCAAATAAACGTAAAGCACACAACAACTACAAGAGACGAAGACTTCCTCTCCCCCCACCACTGAAATCTCAGCGCCTCACTGGACAACTCTTGGCGGACAAAGTAATTCCATGGCGCTTGAAACTCCAGGAACTTTTTTTTTTTTTTTCTTTTTCCTAAAAGAAGTTGTTCCTGTTTCGCCAGAGAACTGGGGGGGAAGGGAGGACTTCAGCACTTGCATTCATGGAGCGTCGGCCAGCGCAAACAAAGTCTTCCCCGAAGAGGGAGGCACTGGACGGCGGCTGAGAGCGAGAACAACGACGTCGGGCCACAAACAGACACAAAAAACACACACACATAAAATGAGATTCATTTCGCGGCTTTGGTTGTTAATAAAACAATTCAGGCCCTCCTCGGGCAAACGTTCATTTTCAAGTTGTGCTAGCTCCGTTAACAATGTAACAATTAAATCGCTCGGCAGATGATAGGGCTGGCCGACACAATCAGCAGCAGCCGAGGCCTATAATCTCGCTACGCGTTTATAAATCATATCACACACATTTTTAATAAAGGAAATACAATACCAGCGGTGTGGTACTCCCGAAGAATGCAGAACATGCATGCTGCATTGTATCCTTTTTTCATTTTCACGAAGCACGGGCGGTCCTCCAGTATAATGGGGTAAAAACCAATATTTCTCCGCGGGTTTTACACCATGCTGAAAACATCGTGAATAATCCGCTTTTCGGTGCGCTGGGGGGAGAAAAAAATCGGCATTCACGGTTGAAAGGGTGCTCACTGTCTGCCAGGCCAGACACGACGTGGGTTTTGCTAGCCAGCCTTCGGGGACAGAGGCAGAGAAGAACGGATACCGGAGTGAGATGTCCCCGGGAGGAGGACCCGCGTGTGCCCGTTGCCAGGAGGCGAGCTCTGGTACCGACACTTTCCACCTGGATTTGAAGAAAAGAACACTCACCTGGAATGTTCGCTTAATTTCCGTTTTCCTCGACCGACGGATTCATACCGTACACTTATCAAATCACAACATTATCACGGTAACATTATAAAATAGAAATGTGTCTCCCCCCCTTTCGCCCGAGCTTTCCAGTGGTCCTACTCCATTACATCCCAGTCAAGATTTCCTGTCGTCTCTCTCTAACCCCCCTCCACCCCCCCCACCCCGCACACACGCACACACCCCTCCGCTCCAGCGCGATGGTTTAGCCCGAATTCTAAGTAGCAATTCTAGGTCAGGTCTGTGTGCCAGTGAGAACGTTACTGTCGGACAGCAGCGAGGCACCACTGTCCATTCAACGTAGTAACACGGTAAACACTACGTATACAGACACACGGAGGCATAAAAACACACCGAAACTGTGGTTTAAACGTTGGGGTTTTTTTTGTTTTTTGTTTTTAATATAGCGGAGTTATACTCTCGTCTTCGTGGTGACATCGAGCTTCTCCACGTGAAACAGCTTGAGAAGTAGTAAAGCATCAAACTTGTGGAACTCCTCACAGGATGGGTTTAAGTGCAAATACACACTTTATGTCCTTATCGGTCGAATCAAGCGTGTTTAAAACAAAATAAAAAAGCAAATGTAGTGCTTAGCGATGACACATTAGTCAATTCGTTGATTAGTTGATGGGCATTATAATAATTGGCAACTATTTTTACCTTAATTTGGTAATTTTACAACCAAAATGTAAAATATCTCTAGTTCCTGCTTCTCTATATTGACACGTTTCTGTTTTTCTTTGTCTTATGTGACACTGGTTGTTTTGTTAGGAGTTCGTAATTGGCATTTTTCGGAACCTCATAATAAGGATTAAATTATTAATCAGCTGATCCATAAAATAATTAGCAGATTAATCTATAATGAATTATATATTTATCAATAATATTGTTAGTTGACGTGTGGTGTTGCTGGTAGTTAGCCATTTGTGGAATTAACATTCTGTGTTTTTTTTTTGTCCAGATGTTTTCCCCCTTAATGAAGCTGTCAGTTTAGCAGCAGCTGTATTAAAGTGTCTTGGCACTTACTTAGCTACATCTGCATTTGTATTAAAAGGAGTGCAGCCATTTAATATTCTTCTTCCATAAAGTTGGGGGACTCACAAAAGAAAGACAGAATTAAAGTATAAAAAGGCTGCAAAATGTATCCATGATTTTGTTTTGTTGTTTTTTTTGGCTCACAGTACTTTTCCCATGGTGAAACTCATTTTCATTAGATGCTCCGTGCCATCAAATGCCCATGTCTTTCAGACTCCGAACCTCCAGTTTGTGACTCATGTTTTCTGTTGTAAATTTGTACCCTACACACTGAGATACCCTGATGACATCATCAGGGTTTTTTTTTTTTTTCAGACTCGACAAAGTCCCTTTCAGAGTCTCAGAAGATGTTATAGACGTGTTGCTGAGTAGTACTCATGACAAATAAACTGATCTTTAATGTCATCATGTAACATCGGTGGTGTTCCCCTTTAAGATACTTACAAACATATCAGTTTCTGGTTTTGTACCACTACAAATTAGTCAGTATATTAGTCAATTCTGGGTTGATGATCCTTAGATTATCAGATCTCTACAGTTGTTGTTGTAATGAGCAAAATAATCCATTAAAGTAAATTAATTTAAACAAAAACAAGAATGGTCAGAGAAAGAAAGAAGTGTATTTAATGCAGAGAAGTAAGCATCAATTCATCATGATAAATGTCTTTTTTACAAACATACCTATACAGATTTACATACAGTGTATATAAACATATATACAAATCCAACCATGTGTTCGTCATTGATGAGGCATATGGTTTACCCATTTAATGTTACAAGAAGACACACACCCACATGCGCACACACACACACACATCAGAACATCACAAGCCTCAAAGGAAGAGTGAAACATTAAGGACATGCAATGTGAGAGTGGTCCTCCTCAATATTTAATCAAGATACATTTCAAATCTAACCCAAATGTGTAATCATGGCATGGGGATTGAATGAATTGGTGTTTAAGTGCACACATTATTAGCTGACCTGATTGTGTGTGTGTGCGTGTGTGTGTGTGTGTGTGTGTGTGCATCAGTTCCTGTGGTTCTCAGAGAACTGATTTAGACTCTCAAAGTGAAGATGTTTTTGCAAACTGAGAACGTTCGTGTTCAAGAGGCTGAGGGCTCGGTTTTATGTGTGCACGACAGTTTAAATGTACAAGGACAGAATCAGGAGTGTATTGTCTCTTTTGAATTTTTAACCAGAGTTGCATCAATAAATATGAATTACCAACAGGGCTTCTTTTGCTCGCAATGTTTAACATAGCTGGCCCATAGTAAAAGAATAGTTGTAACCGAACACACAGAAAATTGGACTTGGCATGCTCAAAAGTTGTTTGGTTTGCTTGCTTTGTGCTCAATACTTAGAGCTCCAACTAATGTTTCTATTCTTTTTTGACTAAACATGGCATTGATTATCTCTTGATTAATCATTTGGTCTTTAAAATATCAGAAAATTGTGTAAAACGTCCATCGTAATTTCCCAAAGCCCCACCTTATTTACATTGCTTGTTTTGTCCGACTAATGGTCCAAAACCAGTGGGTTTACAGTCATAGAAGACTAAGAAAACCAACTCACACTTATTCACATCATACTCACATTTTAGAGGCTGGGATTTATGTATTGTTGCTTAAAAGATTACTTAAACACTTAATTTCTCATTACTACCTATTCAAGTGACTAAGTAAAGTAAATATTTAAGTAAATCTATGTGAACTTAAATAGTTATTTGGTTGGTTTGAAACCACTGAAACTTTGTTTGTCTTTCTTTCTGTCTTGTCAGGTGTGTTAACATACCTGACAAGACAGTCCTTGCATATATCGTACATGGCTGTGGAGCATCAGCAATGCTGAAGCCTTTTACGGGAGTGAGCATTGTGGGATGAAATACTGTACGTAGGACACAAAATCAAGGGATGAGAGCTGCATATTTGTGACTTTTGACAAGCAGGCCATGGCTACGTGGGACATGTTTGTGCACGCTAGCAGAGATCAGTGACACACCACAAAGCTCTGTCTCTCTCTCTCTCTCTATCTCTCTCTCGCTATCTCTCTATCTCTCTTGCTCGCTCTCGCTCTTTCTCTCTCTCTCTCTCGCGCTCTTTCACACACACACACACACACACACACACTTACATACATACACTGCCTCCCTCTCTGGTTCTGTGTGTGTAAGTGTGTGGGTGTGTGCATGTGTGTATTATAAACCCCACTGGTGGAGTAACAGTAGACTGGCAGTATTCCCAGACTGGGTTGCATTAGACATGCACACTAGCAAAGCTCTTCAGGTCGATGTTCTGGCTCTCCAGCGCTGCAACTCTCTGGCATGACTAACCCAGAATACTTTGGAAAACAGAATCCAGATTCTGCCCAATGTTACCATAAAACAACTGGAGAAAAACTGAATCGTAGTTATTGTACTGTGAGCACTTTGTGTGTGTGTTTGCCCATCTGTCTGCCTGCATGCGTGTGTGTGTGTGTGTGCATCATCTGTGTGAGCGTGTGTGTTTAAGCAGGACACCAACATTGACTGTTCACTTATCATATTACCATCTGCATTATTTAAAGCTTCGATAAACAGTCTTATGCTGGGGAGACACACTGTAGACGCAGAGGAGGGATGAGGTGGGTTGGAGGTGTGATACATTTTATTTATAAAGACAGAAACTCTGTCTAAAACTGATACATTAACATGCAGAATATTAACAAAAAACAGACACACAGTTGGCCTCAGATCAGTGGCTGTGGGGAGACTGGGACGCATGGTGGGTTCAGGGATCGGGGGTGTGTACTGTATCCTCAGGGCTCCTGTGTTGGCTTACAGCAGGATAGGCTGGTCGTTTTCAGGTTTGTTCATTAACAGGCTTGGTGGCGCGTTGCTGCGAAGAACGGCTGGGTTATCAAAATACTGAGACAGTGAGCTCACTCACACAGCGGTGAGGTCACTTACCGGAGTGTGGCAGCCTGACCAATCATCAGTCAGCCTATTATCATGGTATGCAGTGTTGCTATGAGTAACAGAGACAAGCACTGCCTTGCGGATCCCTAATGATGGTTGATGCACTGAGATGCTACCACTTGGCTTAGTCTATTCTATTGTATTCGCCTCACTTTCCCCAGCAGCCCTGTTCTTTTGTAGACAGTCTCACATCTTTGTATCGGTCTTGCTGAAACCAAACTTGCATTTCAGGCATAAAAATTATTATAGAATTAAATTAGAAGTTTCAACATCATTTCCTCTCATTTCCTCCCTTCTGTCCTGCCATCCCTTTCCTCTTCTCCTCTTGTTTACTGTCCCCCGCAGCAGTGTTGTCTGACTCTTCCCCGTGGCAGGTGAGCGTAAACAAGCCAGAGGACTGAAACAATGTTAATTAACCAATCATTAACGAGTCAAGGCAGACCCCGGAGATCTAAGCACTTGCCCACCCACCTGCGTCTCACCATTTCACTAACTGGACTGTTAATGACTAATCAGAGGCAAGAGCGATTAGATCGCCTCCTAACGAGAAGGATTTATGATTGCACGACTCTATTATGCCTATATGGCTGAGGCCTTTACAGTGAGGAACTG